ATAATCAATAATTCCAGTTTGGAGCAGCTCGGAGTCATTCCGCCCCTCTATAAATGAGGAAAAAAAACACCAATTTCTTTAAAAATTCCCGATTATTTGTACTTTCTACGTTGATGATTTTTCCCGCTGTGCTGACAGGTGGTTCCGAAGGAAACAAGGAAAATTGAGGAGTTTTGGTAAAAACTGACACTTGGTTTTGGGGTTTTTTATTTACGCAGAGAAACGGCCGCGTCCTGTGCCCCCGAGAAAGTGTCGGAGTGACGGGAAAACCAGGTGGGATCTGAGGGGATGGGTTGGGAGAGGGTGGGAAACGGGGATTGGGGAGGGGGTGGGATTTGGGAGACAGGGAGATGGTATTTGGGAGGGGGGATTCAGGAAGGAAGAGGGGGTTTGGGAAGGGAGATGGGGGTACGGGAGGCGGGGTAGGCAGTGGGATTTGGGAGACAAGGGTTCGGGCAGGGAGAGGGGATTTGGGAGAGCAGGATTTGGGCAACGGGGAGACGTGGATTTGGGAAGGGAGATGAGGATTTGGGAAGAAAGAGGGAGATTTGGGAGACAGGGAGAGGGGATTTGGGAAGGAGGGATGGTTCGGGAAGGGAGACAGGAGTCTGGGAGATGGAGTTTGGGAAGGGAGAGGGGGATTGGGAAGACAGAGGGAGATTTGGGGAGGAAGAGGGAGATTTGGGAAGGAAGATGGGATGTGGGAAGAGAGGGAGATTTGGGAGACGGGGATTTTAAAGTCCCGTTCCCTGAAACACTGGGAACGGCTGTGGCCGGAGCTGCCTCGCTCTTCCCTCACCTTCCCTGTCCCTTCCCAGCTGTTCCCGCCGCCTCCGTCTCCTTTTGATGTGAAAAATGACCAAACTGGGGTTTCTGCGGCTGTCCTACGAGAAGCAGGACACGCTGCTCAAGCTGCTCATCCTGTCCATGGCCGCGGTGCTCTGTGAGTCCGCGCCCGGAATAGGGAATTTTTTATTCCTTCCCTCATTATTCCCATGAAAATTATTTATTTGGGGCGGGAAAATATTATTTCCCCAATTATTAACTTGAGCAGTTTGAGATAAAACTGATTTTTCTGAGTCAAAAACCTTTTTCTCTCCAGCTTTTTCCACGAGGCTTTTTTCCGTCTTACGATTCGAAAGCGTCATCCATGAATTCGACCCGTAAGTATCATTTTCTCCCAATTTTTTGAGGGGGATCTACTGTTTTTTTTTCTCTCCTGGTGATGTTTGTTGGGATCGAGATTCCCAAATCCCGCTGAGGCTGAGGGATTTGGAGGGAACAGGTCAGGATCTCCCGATGGTGACGCGGAGCCGTTTGTCGCCGTTCCAGGTACTTTAATTACCGCACGACGCGGTTTTTGGCGGAGGAAGGATTCTATAAATTCCACAACTGGTTCGACGACCGAGCCTGGTACCCCCTGGGCAGGATTATCGGTGGGACTATTTATCCAGGTAAAGCGAAACGCACCTGGCGGAAGGATAAAAATCAGGAGAGAGAGAGAGGGGGGTGGGTACGTACCCTTAGTTCTGTCCCCCCCCAGGGCTGATGATCACGTCGGCGGCGATTTACCACGTGCTGCATTTTTTCCACGTCACCATCGACATCCGCAACGTCTGCGTGTTCCTGGCTCCGCTCTTCTCCTCCTTCACCACCATCGTCACCTACCACCTCACCAAGGAGCTCAAGGTGAGGGGAGGATCTTCCGGGGTTTGGGCTCATGGAAAAGATTCCCATGACTTTTCCTTTTGGAAAGGTGACTCGTGGCTCTAGGAGAGGTTTGGAGGTGACCAACACGCTGGGCGAACCCCAGAACTTGGAGATAAATGGGAAATTGGGGTGGAAATGTCATTTCAACGCTCGGTTTTTATTCCTTTGAGGCATCTCCGTGTGTAATACGGCACCGGAACAAAAGACTTAAAAACTGGGGGCTTTTTCCACCAAAACTGGTGGGTTTTCCACCAAATCTCTTGGCTTTTTTCAGCCAAGCCCCAGAACTTCTAGAAAATGGGGAATTGGGGTGGAAATGTCATTTCGACGCTCGGTTTTTATTCCTTTGAGGCATCTCTGTGTGTAATACGGCACCGGAACAAAAGACTTTAAAACACGTGGCTCTTTTCCACTGGAACTGGTGGTTTTTCTGCTGAAACTGGTGGTTTTTCCACCAAAATTGGTGGTTTTTCCAATAATACTAGTAAAAAATTCCCACCTAAACTGGTGGCTCTTTTTCCCCCAAAACTCTTGGCTTTTTCCACCAAATCTCTTGGCTCTTTTTCTGCCAAAATTGGTGGTTTTTCCACCAAAACTCTTGGCTGTTCCCCCAGGACGCAGGGGCAGGACTCCTCGCCGCCGCCATGATCGCCGTCGTGCCCGGGTACATCTCTCGATCTGTCGCCGGCTCCTACGATAACGAAGGTGAGTTGACGACGCTCGGAGCCGGGAAACAATTTAACGATCGTCGGGCGCTGGAAGGCACCACCGGACACGATACTTTTAATTTTTTAACATAAGTGAGCGTTATTGACACAACAGAAGCGATTGTTTTGACGTTTCAAGGCTGACGTTGGCTGGTTTTGACCTTTCCGCGTCCTTCCCCCCCAGGAATCGCCATATTCTGCATGTTGCTGACCTACTACATGTGGATCAAGGCCGTCAAGACGGGCTCCATTTACTGGGCGGCCATGTGCGCTCTGGCCTATTTCTACATGGTAAGGAGAAATTTTCCCTCCCACCACCGAGATAATTCGGACTCGAAAAGGTCGTTAAAACCCGCGGCGGCGCCGCTCCTGCGTCCGTGTGTTCAGGGAGCTGGAATTTGGGACGGGCTTGGCGTGGAGACGGAACGCAGATTTTCTGAATTAGTTTCCATTTAGCGGGGTTTTGCGCGTGATTTTATTAATATTAAAAAATGAATCTGGGTTTTGGGCAACCAGGATTGTTGAGGATGTGCCTGGAGAGGGCGGATCTCAGCCGGGAGGGTGATCCCGGGAATCTCAAACTTTGGATTTTGTGAGTTTGGTTTGGTTTTTGTTTCTTTTCTCTCCTGCCAGGTCTCCTCGTGGGGCGGTTACGTCTTCCTGATTAACCTCATCCCCTTACACGTTCTCGTGCTGATGTTGACCGGCCGCTTCTCCCACAGGATCTACGTCGCTTATTGCACCGTCTACTGCCTGGGAACCATCCTCTCCATGCAGATCTCCTTTGTTGGCTTCCAGGTGGGAATCGGGGTGATTTTGGTAACTCCAAGATGGTTGTTTCATGGGTTGTAACAGAACAAGAGCCAGTTGGCACCTGGTTTCTCTCCTCCCCTTCGCCGTCGGCGTCAGAAGTGGGCGTTGTTGTAGTTTTAGCTCCCATTGGGTTGCAGTTTTTGGCGAGATCAGTTTTTGGAGGTGCTGGGTGATTTTCAAAGATGCTTCATGGCACAATGGGTTTAATTTTCTATTTAAAGAAGTGGATTTTTGTTTGGGAATTGGTGTAAGAAAGCGTGGTGGGGCTGGTTTCTCATGATTGCTCTCCGTTGCCTCCAGCCTGTCCTCTCCTCGGAGCACATGGCTGCCCTGGGAGTCTTCGGCCTGTGTCAGATCCACGCCTTCGTCGATTACCTCCGGAGCAAGCTCAACCCGCAGCAGTTTGAGATCCTCTTCAGGAGCGTCATTTCCCTGGTCGGCTTCGTCCTCCTCACCATCGGAGCCATGCTGATGCTGACAGGTGCCCGGGATGATGATGATGATGATAATGATGATGATGATGATAATGAGCACGTTTCACTGCTGGTTTTACCTCTTTTAATGAATTTAAATTAATTAATTTAATTTATCAATCCCGTCGTTTCAGCGCTCGCAATTTCCCCTCTTAAGGGTGAAGCTGGGACTTGCCCTAATTTGTCCGTTAGGAACATAATTTATCTGCAGGCACAATTAATATTTTAATATTTTAAATATTAAATATTAAAATTTAATAATTTAAAAT